GAATTCCTGAATTTCTGAATTTCTGAATTTTTGAATTTATGAATTTCTGAATTTATGAATTTCTGAATTTCTGAATTTCTGAATTTCTGAATTTTTGAATTTCTGAATTTCTGAATCTCTGAATTTTTGAATTTCTGAATTTCTGAATTTCTGAATTTCTGAATTTCTGAATTTCTGAGTTTCTGAATTTCTGAATTTCTGAATTTCTGAATTTCTGAATTTCTGAATTTCTGAATCTCTGAATTTCTGAATTTCTGAATTTCTGAATCTCTGAATTTCTGAATTTCTGAAATTTTAGAATCTTAGAAACTTTTGAAATTATGAACATTTTGAATTTTTAAGCAAATTCAATATTTTTCAAAAAAAAATCTGAAATTTTCAGAATTCGTAAAAAAATATAATTTCCTTGTTTTCCTTGTCTGAAATTGAAATAAAAATAAAATTTGTTGTTGTTTTTTGACATTTTTTCAAGAATTCTAACTTAAAAATTTGAGATTTTTAGCTTAATTTATTTTTAGCTCTCTTCTTTTTCCTAAAATTTTAATAAATATTTGTCTTTTCCAAAAAAAAAGGGAAATTTTCGAACATTTTTGTAAAAAAATCCCAAAAAATTTACTATTTACTTTTGTTCTAAAACTCTAGAGAAGCCAAAAATGCTTCAAAAAGTTTCAAATTCCAAAGAATTCTGAAAATTATTTGAAAAAATTCCGAAAATTGAAAAAAAATGCAAACAATCTAAATTTTCAGAAAGGCTGAAAACTTTCTAGAAATTTCTAAAATTCAAGAAATTAAAAAATACAATTTTAAGGAATCCAGCTTTCAGACTTCCTAAAAAAATTATGTTTGTCTGCTAGAAAAAATTCCAGAAGCCTTTTTTATACTTTTTTTTCTAAGCCTCTAAATTTCAAGAAATCCCAATTTCCTCCTTCTCTCTATATCTTTTCTATACATTTCCAAATATTTATTGGTCATTTTTATGACCCAAAATGTTCAAAATGTATCAAAATGTAATGGTGGTTTGGAATGTTTGAGAATTGCTCATCCTTTCATTCTTCTTATTTGGTTTTTGAATGTATTATTCTTCAGTATTTATGCCATTTTTAGTTCGAAATATCAAAATTTTAGTGGTTTTCAGTCATGGAAGACTCCAGTGAACTCCCATCAAAACCACCATCCATACCAGAGGAGCTATGCAGGAATGAAGAGCTTCAACATGGTGAGTTCTAGATATTTTCTTATGATTCAAATTGCAAATTGTAGATCATAAAAAAAGCTTCAAAGTGATCTAAAATACTGCTTTTTAGCTTTTCTGGTTCTTGAGCTATGTGCCTTTAAATATAGGGTACCCTCTCTCCCCTCTTTCGGGCGCCGCGCTAAGAGGGACCCTACCTTTAAAGAAGCATAACTCAAAAACCAAAAAAGCTAGAAAAAAGTTGTCAACTACAAAAATGAAGCTCTAGTCTTGTTTAATAAATATCACTACTTTTTGGACCCTTATTGTACTCACTAACCGTAATCTAGACAAAGTAAGTAACCAAACCCAAGCTGTAGTAACATGAAAATAGTGGTAAAACATTTTATAACATTTACACATTTTATTTGATTTCAATTCTTCTATTTCTCTCCTTTCTTTTGCGATGCCCCTACACAGACAGAAATATATTTAATTTCGTTTCCGTTACACTAGAATTTTATGTTCTTTTACGGCTTTATGTATCACATGGCATGTGTTTTGCGAGTCTCAATTTTATAAATCTTATAACTTGTTAGAGACTTGAAAATTTCAGAATGTATAGCTTGTAAAATTTGGATCTAGAGAAACGCTTCAAAATGATATAAAATTCTTATAGGTTTCTTTGGAGATAAGCGCCTTCGAAGCGCTTTCCCTCTCTGATGGGCGCCAAGCCGAAAGGAGCGCCGTTTTTAAAGACGCATAACTCAAAAACCGTGATAGATAAAGTTTAAAAAAAATAGATACGTATATTAAACGCAACTAGAGCTTCATTTTTGCTGTTGACAACTTTTTTGTTGCTCTTCTAGTTTTTGAGCTATGCGCCTTTAAAGATAGGGTGCCTCTAGACGCCCTCCCTCTTTTTCGGGCGTCGCGCCTAGAGGTATCCTATTTTTAAAGACACGTAGCTCAAAAACCAAAATAGCTACTGAACATTTAACAGTTATGAATTTGTGCAAAATTGAATTTCACACGGGTACCGAGCTCGAATT